ATAGGCGTCAGACGTCCTTTTGGAAGATTTGCCCGAGTTCATTTCCGAGGGACGAGGTCGCCGTTGAAATTTCCTTCGGGAAGGTGGAGGATCCGGGACTTGCTCGTTCCTCTCTAACCTTTACCTCGAATCGAGTGCAATGGTCGCGCACTTTCCCCGTTCGCGGAGCCGTGCCAGGACGTTCCGGTTCGTCCGATACGTGCCGTCGAGAAAGACATTCCGATGAGTCGGAACGAGTCGTGAAACGGCCGCGGCCATTTTTCCCCGGGATGCGCGTCCACCGGGCAACCCTTCCGCGGTAGGAAGCGGAATGCGTCCTTATCCGCAAATAAGTGGGAAGGCGGAATGTCTTTACAGCCGATTCTGGAAATCCGCCGGTCATTACTCCACTAATGAGGAAACGGATTGACGGGTCCGATAGCGCGATCGTATCTGCAAGAAGGCCCCGCCGTAAAATTTACGAGTACCGATTTTGCCTAATGTCGTTTTAACGCGGAGGAAATTAATCGGTGATGTAACGGAACGGGGAATTCGGAGAGCCAGGGACATCGAGAGGAAATCGAAAAGACCGCGGAAAATGGATAAAAAGAGCACGTGATGGACTAACGGTCACCCAGGGAGGGAGGAAGAACTTGCGGGGAATTTTACTCCAAGAAATGGGATCGTGCGTTTTCTGTCGATCATTTTCGCGTATGAAAGCTCTTTCTGCATCCGCAGATCGTAAAGTAATTAAGAAGTACCCCGATTCAAGCTGGACTAAATGCATTTAACGGCATATCGCAACGGCACAATGGATCCGATCGTTCGGTTCCGGCAAGACAACGCGTTCGGTTATCAATTTCCTCGGCCATAACGTATCGATCGGTAACGAGGCGGACGTGCAAGAAATGCAATAACAATAACGTCGTGCATCGGAAAGGACTTGGATAACAATGGTGATTCCAGGGTCATTTATCTCGCGGTTAGAAACGGGGTCGTTTGGCCGCCCACGTAAGATTTACGACGAATTCCGATTAACGGAATACCCAAGCCGCCATCTTGCCTGGAGAGTCCCGAACCGGTCCCGGAGACCGGCGGATCAAAGTCGGTGCAAGTTCGATCGGCACTAATTGTAAGTTCTAGGGGAACGAATCGCTCCTGGCTATTCGTCGACCTCTTCTTGCATGCCTCGTCCTCGAGAACTCGCGACACCTTTAGGAAACCAAGTTCCAGTCCCGACTAAGCTCGAAATTAAATCGTTTCTATTGAGAATCGGGAAATGAAATCGTTTAACGAGGGCAGGAATTAACTCCGAAACGTATTTCGCCCGGAGACATCGACGACCGCATGGGACATGTCGCGGAGACTTCAACGCCCGAACGGCGCGACATGTCCTATGCGGCCGTCGATGTCTCCGAGTATTTCTGATACCGCTTGATATTAATTACAAATTCATATATTTTCGAGGTATTACCGCCGCCATTTCCCTTCCTCCGTTTCACCACGTCCCGTGGCGTACGAGGTTAACACTTGGACGCCCACATGGGAAGCACTTCCCCATTGGCATACATAAATGCAGGAGGCGACGGCGACGCTAAATATAGTTGAGCCCGAATACCGCAACGGTGAACGAGATAAAACCCTCATTTGGAGTATCGCTAACCAATTGACGCGAAAGTTCAACGCGTGCGCCATTAGATTATTCGACGCCATACGCGACCATAAAGATCGTCGTCTCTTTTATGGGGCTAATTCGCGTCCGCACCGCATCCTATCGAGCGGAATTCCGGAAAAACTTCAGTTTAAGTCTCTGTCGAGCCAGACAACGCGGCGACGATGGCCGATCGTGGCGTCCAAGGTCCCAAAAGAAATGACGGATCCCCGCGACTCGAAATTCGGCGGTCTCGGCGGGGATTCGCTCGCGCCATTTTTCGCAACGAAAAGGAAAGCCATCCTCTTACGTGCTCGCGGCAAAATCCGACGGTCCGTCGGATTCGGTTGCTCTCGGTAAGCGGGCTAACGGTGCTGCGTCCTACTTCGGCCCTGGCATCCTCGTGGCCGCGTGTGCGTGCCGGTGCGTGCCGACGCGGACGGGCCTCGACACTCGACTCGTGACGTAGCACGAGCACGCGGGGGTAGCGCGCGGACATTCCCGCGCGGATTCCTCGCCGGAGGAATACGACACGTGGGGTTCCGACCCGCCGGTTTAGTTCCACGCGTTTCCGCAAATTCACGCGAGTTATCGTCGATTTTGGCAGGAATTAACGCGGGTTCTCCTCGATTTTGCACGGATTACGATTAAATTCCACCGACTTCGACGGACTTTTGCGGGATTTTCATCGATTTCCACGAAGACCCCGAAGAAGGACGTGCCTTGGTAAGGCCCATTTCTAGACGGGGACTTTGAAATTTTCCTTTAGATCGCGGAATAGAGCATCAACCAAGTTATAAAAATGTCCTAATAATTATTCTTCGGTTATAGATTTCACGCTTATCTCCCATCAGGTAGGGGGTAGTACCGTCATTTTTGACACGCAACCACACCACGATTTTTTCGGTTTTGGCCTCGCCATTTGTTGATCGCGGCTAAGAACGTCCGTTTAAACGTCTTAAGGAATCGTTGCATATCGAGGCTCGTGCTTACTTGTTCCACGTCGGCATGCTTAAAGTATGGCACGCGAAAGGAATAAATCACCTCGTTAAGAGGTTAAGATCAGGGATTGTGACCGAGTATCCGGGTTAGTCGTTCCGTCCTGTTCTATCGCGGCCGAGAGATGCGACCAGACGAAAGAATAAACAAATGGATACTCGTTTATCCGTCCCACTCGATTTGCATGCAACGGACCGAGAAGGACGACCGATCCGTTACTCCGTTGCGATCCCTCATTGAAACAGCCTACGGAGTCATTTGAGCCCGTTGCAACAAATGCCGCTCGTTCATTTCCTCAAAATACCGTGTAATCTCATTTTTTATTTCATTTCTCGACGCGTATGGGGAACAACGGAAAGGTTACGTCAATTTCAAAGCGTCGTCGCGACTCGACGTTGGCCGTTAACCGGATCGAGCCGTTAAATCAATGAATTCTTCATTAACGACGGTCACGGGTCTCGTTTAATTAGGCGATGGGCTCTGGAGATTGCGAGTCCCTAATGCTAATGTTAATGTTAACAGTCGTGTCCGAGTGGCTTCTTGGCTCGTCGTTCGACGAGAAAGATTTAAGAACTAGAGGAGTAGAGGTTAGGCCAGGCCTGAGATTCGGCTAATGTTAATGTTAACAGTCGTGTCCGAGTGGCTTCTTGGCTCGTCGTTCGGCGAGAAAGATTTAAGAACTAGAGGAGTAGAGGTTAGGCCAGGCCTGAGATTCGGCTCCGAAGAGGACGGGATCCCAGCGGGCAACGACCCGAATCTCTTCTCGTCCAACCTAGAAACGACTCCCGGCTCTCCTTGTAGCCGCCGACCGCTAGGGAAGTCCTCGCCGGGCCGAATTCGTCGCGCGCACTCGGCCTACCCAGTGATCCCATTGATAAGTAGCGCACCATTGTCGTAGGCCCGAAAAGTGGGCCCGCGGGACCGGCGGCGCGGTTACGGTACCGGGGCCCGCGCCACTGCATAACGGTACGCCGGGCCCCTCGCACGCGTCACGGCTTCCCGATCCCCACCGGCCGCGACAAGGACGGCTCGCTTCGGCCGTCTCCGGCCGACTTCGGCCGTCCTCGGCTCCCATTGGACCGACGGCGGTGCCACTTGCGACCGGTACGCGGAAAGAAAATCCCGCCGCCATCTTGGATCACGTGGCCGGCCGCTTCCGAAATCCGCGACTTCCCCTCCGACCGGTCCCCTTTTCCGTAATAACGCGTCCCCCTCGTTTCGACGCGACCGCTTCTTTTCACCAGCGGAGAAAGTTCATTCAGGGGAGGCAATCCTGACGGCTAACCTCCAAATTTCCTCCTCCGCGTATACGGGGAGAAGGACTCCTCGGAGGAGCGATCCGCTCGAAGCAAGAGCGTCCTCGTGCGACCCCTTCTTTTTCTCACTTCCGGTGCCCCCCCCAGCGGACTACAAGGAGACTCTTGCCGACACGAAATATATTTTTAAACGCCGCAATTTGGTCGGCCGAGTGTGTACTCGGCCGTGGCTGGATAGCGTGCCACTAACCTAGTTAACGGGAGCGAGTCTTTCTTCTCTCTCTCCCCCGGCTGCTCTTCGCGGAGAGAAGTGGCATCTACCCTACCAACCTACCTATATACCTACACCGACAGGTCCGCCAACCTACCTACCAACCTACTACCAACCTACCTACCACCTACCTACCAACCTACCAACCTACCTACCCACCGCGCACGCTACGCTTCGAGGCTCGGCCGCTACGCCGCACGACGCGCGACATGCTTCGGTTCCTTCGGGAGGATCTTTTTCAACCACTTCTTACCACGAAGATCCGTTTCGATCGGCGGATCGCCGCTTTCTTCCTCGATACTAATCGATCCGTTGGCTCGGCCCGAAGTCCACCTCTAACCGGTAAAATAGGAGACCCGGTAGCCAGGAACGCGTCATGGGCTACATTTGCGTCGCAGTCCTTAACCCTGCATTTGTCGGGTCTGAATCCAATAGATCGGGGTAATAATTACGCATATTCGATCCCGAGCGCCTCGATCAACCTTAAACTCGGATTTACTGGGTTTGGACCTGATAAATCCCCGATAGAAACGTTGTCAAGGCTCGAGAACCAAAGGTGCACTGGTGGCCGTGATTCTTCCCGTCGTGTCCGCAGGGAAGGTGTTCATGTTCATCGGTGTACCCTGGTACTCCTGACGTTAGTCATATTACCCTGGTAATGTTCTCGGTTATATTACGGGAACTTAAATTCTTGTGAATTAAGCACTTTTAGTGCCGGCCGAAGTCGTTAGCAGTTGTAAAAGGACGATATATCGTTGTCGGCACTAAAAGGACACTCTCTGGTACCACCTGGTCACCGGCGAAGGAGAATAAGAGACTTCGAGGTGTCGGTAATTTACTCGCCATGGTTTGTAGAGGTGAGTGGGTCAGCGAGGATCCGAGGAACACCTATGGGGATATTAATCGAGAACGCGAGGCGCGCGTTCGCTGGGAACTGGGCATCGGGGATGGGTAGAAGTAGGCACACCGGTCTTCACAATTTACAATAAATGGTGGAATAGGTACGTAATAGAGCTCATTCGAACCTCGATTAACCCTTTCATTACGGCACCACCACTGAATGCGACACCGCGGGTGCACATTGCGCTTTGGCAGTCTCGGTGTTCTAACTTACGTCTTCCACTTGAACACCGCCTCCTTGACTGCCTTTTCTACGTACACTTTTCTAAGTGTTAAATAACAATTGTTTTGTCGTATTATTCCGTTATTAAATTACGAAATAAATTACCAAACAATACGATCAAAAGATACTCTGCAGATATGGCAGAATTGGTACCGAGGAGATAAAAAGTGAGCGCAGGAGTTCCAACGCAGGTCTCTGGTTGTTGCAGGTCCCCGCGGCGCCGTTGGCGGTTGCAGCACCCCCGGCAGTAGAGTGGATCCCTGGTGGAACCCTGGTCCCCCGTTCCCCTCGGCGTCGACGCCAGGTCCTCCGAGCCTGGAGGAGGGCCCGCCGGGAGTCGGCGTCCACCAGCACCCGTCGAGCCTGGCGTACGCGGCGTCGGCGTCGTCGAGCGCGTGCCACCACCACCACCGGCACCACCATCACCACCACCACCACCACCACTCGGGAATCTTGAGCCACGGTTACGGGGGCTCGTCCATCGACGTCCTCGTAAGAGAAGACTCCATATCGAGTCTCCGAGGCGCCGATGTAGCCTCGGGGGCGGAGTCGTACGGCATCATTCCGGGCTCTCCGTCGCCGACGGGCGCGTCGACGTCGGGACCGCGAGCCGGCGGCAACGTCCTGGCCACCCTGTTGGCGAGCTCGACGACGCCGACGTCGGAGAGCGCCACGGCACGCGGCGCGCCGTCGTCGTGTCCTCCAGGGGGCCATCGAAGCGGCGCCGCCCTGGCGAGTCCCTACCGGGCCTACACCTCGGCGAGCTCAGCGACCTCCAGAGCGAACCCCTCACCGGACTCGCTGAACGGGATCCTCTCCTCCCTCAACGTGCGCGTAAAGACGGAGGAGCCCCGCGTAGGCGAGGACAGATGCACGGTCTCTTCCGTCAACTTTAATGCCTCCCTGTTGAGCTCGCTGCTCTCGACGTCCAGGATCTCCTCGACGCCGCACTCGTCCTCGTCGTCGTCGCGGAGTGACGAGGAGACGGCGCGGCAGGTGAAGTCGGAGTACCCGGAGAGGCGGGAGCCGGGGAGGATCAAGGTAGAGTACCCACTGGACCCGGTGCGCTCGCCTTGCGATATCTTGGACGCCTCCGAGGAGGACCTCGTGGCCACGTCGCCGTACAACGTGGTGTCAGCGGCTGCTGGGGGCGGGCGGGGCCTCGGCAAAGGCACCTGCCGCCTGCAGGCCGGGGGTAAGGACTCGCCAGGTGCGGAACTCGTCGTCGAGATGAAGTACTCCGGCCAGCCGGGTGCGCCCTCCGGACCCCAGCACCTGGGGCCCGCCGGCGTGGAGCCGCCGCACAGCAGCCAGGGCGCCGGCGCGGTCGTGGGCGGCCCCACGGCCGAGGTCGTCGGCGTCGACAGCCTCCTGCTCTCTTCCTGGGGCGCCACCGGCTCCGACTTCATGGAGACCTCCGACGCCAAGCAGACCGCCGCCGGTCTTCAGGACGCCTGGGACACCATCCTGCTCGGCTCTTCCGTCGGCGTCGCGACGGCCCAGTCGCTGGCTGAGCTGAAGCCACTGCCACCGTTCACCGGGTACACGGGCCACCTTAGCATCAACGGCATCCCCGGGCACCACTACCACACGATAGCCCACCGGCCGAGTCTGCAGTCCAGCTCCCCGACGCCCTCGTCCAACCAGGAGTTCTACGAGGCGCCCGTCGTCTCATCCAGCACCCCTTGCCCGGCCCAGGGCAGCGCCCAGAAGCAGCAGATGCCGCAGTCGACTCAGCAGGTCGACTACGACATCGAGGACATCGCCGAGATCATCGGCTCTGCCATCGCCGACACGACGGTCCCGGGTGGCGGCAACGGTCCAGGTTCCGAGAACGACCCCGACGCCTCGCGCGACTGGATCGACATCGCCGAGTGGATCGACACCGCCTGCTCCCCCAAGACCCAGGAGACTTCGTCCCCGGGTCCCTACTCGCAGATCTACGCTGCCGCCACCAACCCCTCCGCCCAGCAGCAGCAGCAGCAGCAACAACAACAACAGCAGCAGCACAGCTCCACGCTGCAGAGCCTGCTGACGCAGACCTACGCGCCCCTGCTGCAGGCCAGACTGCAGGCCGGGAATGCCCTGCAGAACGCCTCCTGCGGGGAGACGCCCTCCTCCACGAGTCCCTATCCTCCCGTCAGCCCGCCCGGCAGGGTCTCCACATCCTGCAGCCCCGACCACCTCTTGCATTCCTCCTTTGCCGCCCCGTCGCACCCTAGGAAGCGGTCGAGACCGGCTCCGGGGTCGCAGAACCCCTCGAAGAAGAGCCCCGGCGCTGCCGCAGGACTCCCCTACGGTACCGAGCCCGCTCTAATCAGCGGCAAGGAGAAGCCCGTCCACCGGTGCTCCATCTGCAACCGCGGATTCCTCAACAAGAGCAACATCAAGGTCCACCTCCGCACCCACACCGGCGAAAAGCCCTTCAGGTGCGAGGTCTGTGGAAAGGCCTTCCGGCAGAAGGCGCACCTCATCAAGCACCAGCAGATACACAAGAGGATCGGCCGGGACTAGGACCGCGGCCCCTGGAGGAGAAGGATCTAGAGAATCGCCAAGGACCCCTACTGGACGACTCGACGCCAGGTAGGACGCGCCTCCCCTGGTGGAGGTCGCTGCCGAGAGACCCATATGGCTCGTGGACTCGAGCTAGGTCGCTGCGGAACGTCGAGGACCGACCGGGACGTCGGATCGAGACGAGAGATTCTCCTCGCTGTGCCCTAGGAGGCCGCTGCCCCGATACCGGGCACGGCGAATCCGGCGATGGGGTCTAGGTTATCCCAGAAAGGGCCTCATTTCCGGTCACGTCATCGTCTTGGACGAACTTTCGAGACCCGGTCGAGGACCCGGACAACCCCAAGATACGAGGAGCCACGGCTCCGTCGAGGTATGAAGCCTCGGAGGGAGACCCCCGGAGACGTCGGTCTTTGCCCGACGATCCGCGAATCGCTCCGCCACCCTGTATATATATATATGTACCTCTCCCGCGCCTGCGCAAAGGCGACTCGGGCCGCGCATCGGTGCAACCCCACAATCGCGCCCCGTCCTTTGACACCTTATTTATGATTTTTTCTCTCCACTTCGTGCGTTACGTTTCCTCGTCATTGTCAACTCCTATTTTCTTTCCTCTCTCTATATTTATTGCGCGTTGTCCCCCCTCCTCTTTTTATTCGGCCGTTCGCGCCCCGCGTCTCCGGAAATCAGGATGCGATCTCGTCGTCTCTATTTATGCGTCGGAATCTTCGTTTCTTCTCTTTCGCTCGAGGAAGAGGGAAAGGTGTACGATGAAATGTCGCAGTAGGTTGTAAGCGTTATCGTAAATTCGTCCGTCCTACCTAGGGCCAATATACGGGTTTGATAAGAGAGTTCTGTTTCTCTCTTTGCGTTTCTTCGCGTGATACGAAGATTAGGGCTTCTTCTTCCCCTCCCTTTCTCTTCGCTTCTTGACTTTCTTCATTCTCTCGAATTCTCCCCTCGTCTCTTTACGCTTCTCGCTTCCGTAATCGTCGTCCCTTATTTATTCCGACATATCGGGCCTTCTTTCTGTATATACCCTTCGTCCGATACAACATGGCGGCACGAGGACAACCTGCGATCGCCTTTTTTTTAATGGTTTTCTCTCGTACTTCGACCAGAGATTCGTGGATAAATATTGTAATCCTGATTTTTCCCCCGTTTTCCGGAAAACTAACCTCCAAAAGGCGATCCAGGTTGGCGGAAGTTTACCTCGTGCTGTGGAATTCTACTCGGTGTACCTAGCGTAGCTGGCTACGCGCTTCAAGTGTTGTAGATTGTTTAATAAAGACGTTACGTTATGTGTTAGATTATTTAATAAATTAAATAAAGTCTAGACTGTCGACGAGGGACCCCTCTCCATAGCGCACGCCGGAATTGGGTACAGGCGAAATGCGGTCGATCGGAAATAACGCGAAAAGTCGGCGAAATGTCGCCGGAAATGGTACCCCGAAAGAATGATCTCACGTAATTCGCAGCTGTGGAGGAAATCTCGAAATACGTTCCCCTCGAAACAATCCGATCGACCAGGTGGAGGAGAGAAAAGGATACGGAAGAACAATCTCGCCAGTACGCAATTCCTTCCGCGGTCAAAGGAGTACTTACCGCAAAAACTTGGCCATAACTGAATGTTTTTCAAACAGCCCTTCGAGCTGTAGTCTAATCCACGTCGGACGGTAATTAGTATTATTTGTGATAGCAATATGCGGGAAAATCTTAATTAACATTAATTCCAAATCTTAGGAGGAGGCTAAGATGAAAGGAGCAATTCTGGCCAAGTTCCTGACGGAAGTACTTCTACGTGCCCCACGTGCGTTAGTTATTTATTGAGAAAATCCCGACACACGACGGATGTTTATACTCGCGCCGGATTGTTGTTCGCGATGGAAAAGAGAGTTGTATATTTCCTGGACGTTGTATATTTCGATCCGATCGCTGCTTATCGCGTCTATCTCTGTCCTCTCGGCCTCGTCTCTTCCTCGTCCCTAGGTAATTTCTATAAGGAGCTTAGTCGCTTAAGTAATTGGACCTGTTGTTGATAGTTCTTTCCCGTTTACCTTTAATTTACCTTGTCAAGCCTATTGTACGAAGACACCTGTTAAGTTTTCTTTATTTCTCCCTTACCGACAGTCCTGCGCCTCGGGCGCAGGGTGTGCAATAAATACGTCACTCATACGTTACACCCCTCTCTATCTTCTTCCTCGAGGTCTCCTTGAGACCGGAAATGGTCTTCACCCCCGCAAAGACAAGGCCGAACAATGGCGCCTGCGAAGAAACGAGCGACGCCAAGATCTGGGCCACCAGCCGGAAAAAGAGGAGAGGACGAGACGAAGACATCGGATGGCGTCAAACGAAGCCATTGTCGCGATGAAGAAGAAAAAAAAAGAATAAGAAAAAGGGGCTTTAAGGAGGTGCAAAAAATTCACGTAACGGCGCTGCGGTCGCGAGGTTTCATGAACTCCAAGAGTCCCTTATGAAAATATCACGTCCTACCAGGGACCGAAACCCACCCTGAGAAATGAAATTCATTTAACCGAAAAGAAAGAAAAACAGTACCAAAGATGTACTTCGTTAATTTAGGGAATGTTTTACTGAATTAAACCGAAAGAAATTCAACTTGCCAATTCCGCAGAGGCGTCGCATCCGGTTTATTTGAGTTCGAGTGTAAGTAATTACGCTTTGAATTTACAGAGACTTTATTTGGTACCGTTCGGAGAAATATTTCTCGCGGGTTCAATGAAATTCTTCTTTCTCAGTGTACTCCCAACTTCCGAGGCCGACGCCGAATAGCGGTTAGGTCGACGACCTACATTTTTCGACGGCCGGCGTCGCCGACGAAGGTGCCCTCTGCAATCAGAGAGAGAAAAAAAAAATAGAAGTAAAGAACAGCTGGTTGATTTGGGGAAATATTCCTTGCGACGACTTGAGTCCCCGACGTCCTTCTGTCAAACTCAGACACGTGGGAAGAAAGAAATAAATGACAGATTGAGGTAGGAGAATTATTTTAATAATTCATTTTCCTTCCCTACGAAATAATTGTTTCTTGCAATTGTATGCACATACGTATATACATATATATATGTTTCGGTCAAGTATTCTTTTTTCTCATTGCCGCCATTTTGGAACTTCTCTTGCTTAGGCGTTTTCCCTCGATTTTAAGCGTTTCCTTCGGAACTACGCCCGCGTTTAATGGACGCCTCTCGTTATAGTGATAAGCCCGTGATAACGATGGTCGACGAGAACCCAGAGACTCGTCTGGAAGGAGAGCGACCTGGCAGAAGCTTGCCTCCATCTCGGTAAGTATGTAAATCCGCCCGACGAGTTCGTTTCAGGACTTTGTGCACACCTGACACGGATACGATCCGCTTTTGATCCGCTTTTGATCCGGCACGACGGGACGCGTTACTGGCCGATATAACACACGTGTACCGAGTATCCTCTTCCCACGTTTACTTCTTACCCCATTCTCGTTGCAAGTTCACTCCGCACCTGGCAGAGCGACCGGTGCGAACGAATTACTTGACTCCTCTTTATATAGTGAGAAGGAAACAGTGCATTGAACCAAAGAGACATTCCTTGAGTACCAACCAAATAATTTATTTATTCAAGCTTAAAGAAATTATTGGAAATTACAGAAACATTGTCAGAATTTCCTTCGCGTTGCCAATTATCGTATGTCATTAGAGGCGATCGGTTTCGAAGGAGATAAATCGTTTTTACGGATTAGCCCTTCGATTCCTGGATTTCTTATTGCAAGTTCACTTTGCACCTGGCAGAACGACCGGTGCGAACGAATTACCTGACTTCTCTTTATATACCGAGAAGGAAACAGTGCATTGAACCAAAGAGACATTCCTTGAGTACCAACCAAATAATTTCTTCATTCAAGCTTAAAGAAATTATTGGAAATTACCAAAACCTTGTCAGAATTTCCTTCGCGTTGCCATTTATCGTATGTGGTTAGAGGCGATCTATTGTGAAGGAAATAAATCGTTTTCGCCAATTTTCGAGCGAATAGCCCTTCGATTCCTGGATTTCTCGTTGCAAGTTCACTTTGCACCTGACAGAGCGACCGGTACGAACGAATTACCTGACTTCTCTTTATATACCGAGAACAAAACAGTGCATTGAACCAAAGAGACATTCCTTGAGTACCAACCAAATAATTTCTTAATTCAAGCTTATAGAAATTATTGGAAATTACCAAAACATTGTCAGAATTTCCTTCGCGTTGCCATTTATCGTATGTGGTTAGAAGCGATCTATTGCGAAGGAAATAAATCGTTTTCGCCGATTTCCAAGCGGATAGCCCCTCGATTCCTGGATTTCTGGCCGCGCCGCGTGGGCTGAGCGGAAAAAGCATTTCTGCACAGGTCGAGGATAAGAGGAAGAAGCGGAACGAGAAGCGGCGAGCAGTATCTGGCAGGAGAGTAGTGGCGTTCGGAGTATAGCGCTCTTAAAGAAAGTCTTTCACCGTGCAAGTCATGAAGGAGCACGGCGGTCCACGGGGCGAAGGAGGAGGCGGACGAAGTCGGTATACTTGGTCGGTACCAGGCAGCGATGTTCCACTTACTTGGCACACTTAACGAACCCGCCTCGCTTCAGGATCCTGAAGAGTGGGTCTATCCTACGGCCCGCTGTAGGCCGTCGCTTTAACGATACCGGATCGCGTGTACGCATCGTGCGTCTCTACAAACTTACCGATGCCTGTTGAGCCTCGTCTCCTCCTTTTGGGTCCTAAATCTCCGGCTAATCGGTCTATGTTAATTATTTCCATTACTCCAAGGCGCGTCGAGTTGGATATCGCGAGCGCCGCCATCTTGGAATATGAAAATCGATGCAGCTGTCATCAAATATAATTTTTATTTCATTTATTCCAAGGCGCGTCGAGTTGGATATCGCGAGCGCCGCCATCTTGGAATATGAAAATCGATGCAGCTATAATCAAATATAATTTTTATTTCATTTATTCCAAGGCGCGTCGAGTTCGATATCGCGAGCGCCGCCATGTTTGAATATAAAATTCACTGGAGTTTACACGAAGTATTATTTTTATTTAATTTATTCCAAGGCGCGTCTATCGAGCTCGACCTCGCGAGCGCCGCCATCTTTGATCCGAGGTCCTGGACTCACGTCGAGGTTTTCCGAGACTTTGAGTACACCCGTGGACCCAAATGCCTTCTTCATAGTCATCGTTACAGAATCGCGTTCATATCCGCCAGCATACCCGAAATGGTAGCGAGTTACGGTAGTCCCGGCCGAGATTATGCACGAATCAGGCCAACTTGAAATTCGACACACTTCGGAGGCCACGTACGCGCGACCTGAAATCCCGCGAGAGAGGAGGAAGAGGAGGGAAGGATCTTCCCCGATGAAGACTGAAAATTCCAAAATTGCCGGACCCAAGGTATAGGGTTTAGTTTTCGAGTCCCACGGAATTATCCGCGCCGCCGTCTGGGGAATCTTTTGGCACGATCTCTCGGCGCGGATTGCGCGAAAAGTCGAACGAACGATCCGTCGAGAGACCATGAGAACTTTACCACGGGAATGGTGGATCTAGTCGAGGCCCGATCGGTGTTGGTGTCCGTAAAACGCACCGCGGGTGCGATTCCGCGTCTTTCAGAGAGAGACCACCTCGAGACAGGTGTGCGAACACTTCGCGCGATATGAATCGCCTTTAATTATTCCCGGCCTTTTTACGAAATCGAGGGGCGTTCGACTAGTCCGCCCGGAAAAGTACGCACGTAATTAGACCCATTAAATAAATTTTTTCTTCAACGGACTGCGATGAAAAAAAAAAAGAAATAAATTGATTGACTCAAAGAAGCGACAAATGCGAAAAAAAATGAAGGATCGCGTAAACGAAATTATTTCAACTCGTGGATTTGATCTCTCGGCGAATTAATTGTTCCTTGCAATTAGGTACGATTAGGTGGATATAAACGTCAAGAATGTTTATGAAATATTTCTTTGCACGTAATTAGACCCATTAGATTAATTGTTTCTTCGATGGACTGCGATGAAAAAAAAAAATGAAAAAAATTGATTGACTCAAAGCGACAAGTGCAAAAAAATGACAGATCGCGTAAACGAAATTATTTCAACTCGTAGATTTGATCTCTCAGCGAATTAATTGTTCCTTGCAATTAGGTACGATTAGGTGGATATGTAAACGTCAAGAATGTTTATGAAATATTTCTTCAACCTGGGTGCACACGTCCGGCTAAGACAACAATATATATATTGTTTCGATAAATATAAATATAAATATAAATATATATATATATTTGTTTCGCTCAACTAATCTTTCCCTCGGGGTATTTATTCGACCGGCAAGTTACTAGTTCCGTAGTAAAATGACGTCCACTTTGCAGGGACGACTTCAAAATGCATTTACTGTAACGAAACGGTGAAAGTTTGGTCAGTTTTGCCGCGACGTCCTTTCCGACGTGCTCGAAGAGGGTTCGAAAGGATTCCGAAGAACAAGGCGCTGGTATTCGCGCAAAGATTTCCCGACATTGAAATAACAGGGGAACTCGATCGAACGACTTATCGATAGGCGCTAACGCGACTAACGGGACGAACTCGCGACTAGCTTAACGATCAAGTTCGATTTCTCTTGGCATCATAACACGAACGCCTGGTGAAAACTTGATGGGAAGGTCCAAAATAATCCACGAGGGCGCACCCGCTCCCGATCTCCGAAGGCCATCGATTATTATTGCCACGTCCGTCGAGACATCGGTCGGAAAGTTTAACACCAGTTTTGCGAACATTTCATGTCTACCTAGATCGGAATCTATCTAGACATCGATCGGAAAGTTTAACGCCAGTTTCACGAACATTTCACGTCTACCTAGTCCACGGATGACCGAAAGTCTACATTTCCTTAAGCGTTTCAGTGGCTTCCGGTACTCGTACAACTATTAGCTAGTGCGTTGTTCGGCATTTCTCGCCACTAGTTTTTCTCCTGGACTCGAAAGTCAAAGAAAGAAAATTATTTCCTTGGTTTAGAAAAACCTAATTAAGCCCTATTAACATCTAAACTTGACCAAGTAACCACGTGGTACCAAATAGTCACCTAATGTTCGTAATATCCACATTACACAACGTTGCACTTATTCCACGCATCATTTTGCGTTGTTCGGCATTTCCCGCTACTGGTTTTTCAATGACCCCTGGGCTCGAAAGTTGAAGAAAGAAAATCATTTACTTAATATAGAAAAACCTAATTAAGCCATATTAACATCTAAACTTAACCAAGTAATCACGTGATAGGAAATGTTCGTAATATCCACATTACACAACGTTGCACATGTTCAGCGCAGTCTTTTGCTCCTGAAATTCAAGATTCCAAGTTATTTAGGGGAAATGGATTACCCTTTGAATTGAGAGTATATTGCTTTGGTATTCACGGTTAAATGGAATTCTTTTCCTCGGGTGGGGGTAAGACGAGGTAAGGATTATTTAAGCCCATCGCCGGGATAAGTGGAGTTTTCCCCGCGATCCTTCCTACATAGGTGAACGGAACCCATCGGACGGTGTTCCAGCCCTTCTCCTTGGGTCCCTTCCCTTCGGCATCTCCGGTCGAGAGAGCGCACGGTGCGCGCCTCGAACGCGACACACCGTTCCCGTGGTCGTAGCGGTGGGACCTTGTTTCGTGACCCACATAAAGCAAGGCCGTTAACACTCGCGCCACTCGCGAGTATAGGTGGGACCACTCTCGAGGCTCCTCTCTTCAGGGTCCACCGAACTCCGAGGCGTCGGGGGTCGCCGTGGCACCCACACCCACCCACGAGTCCCGAAGAATCCTGCTCCTTTTCCCGAGACAACGTCCTAATTTATGCAATTTTTTATAATCCCTGACTACGTACTGTATTTAAATTAATGGACGCAACCATGATTCCATATAGTTCCACCATATTTTTTTTTTTCATATAAAGAACGACTACGAACCAAGATACTCGTCGTAAGAATTAAATTTACACATGTACCGCATTTAAATTAATAGACGAAACCATGATTCCATATAGTTGCACCATATTTTTTTTATAAAGAACGACTACGAACGAAGGTACTCGTAAGAATTAAATGTATACATTCATACAATAATTTAAATTTATACATGGAACCATGTAGTTTCAAACTAGTTCTTTTTCTTTTGTGAAGGATGACTCCACAAGCGCAGGTATCTTTCCTCACATTTCGGCATGTATGCCCTTAATTGACTCGCTTCCATTGTGTGGTATTTAGAGAGTATTTCTATAAACAAATGCCCTCGTAAGAATCTTTCCACCCAGGGATACCCTATCGAACGGCTCAGTATGGAGGTGACTAAAGAACGAGAGTATCTCCGATGCCTTGATCTTGACTCGGCACAAGGCCTCAGCCACGGAACGTCGCCGGTCAACGGCAACGCGCTCCGTCCTCCTCTCTCCCCCAGACTCCGGCATATCGCCGTCTCTTTTGCGGCGTCCCTCCCACCGGCGCATGACTTCGCGCGGTCGCCGCGGTCTCAAAGCTGCCGCCGGTTGAGAAATCGCCAATAGCGATGCAAATTACTTCCGAAACTCCGCGTGGCATACCTTGCAAGCAGCTTAGAAGTGTGCGGCAGAGGTGGCGAAGAAGACTGAGAAGAAGAAGAAATTCTGCTCTCCACAAAGAAAGGTACAGGCGAGAAAGACGACTCCAATTAGCCCTGCAATAGCAGGTGAGGTTGATTTTAGTTATTCCAATGAATTTTATTCGTTAGAAATGTTGAAAATGGAATTTTATCGAAATCGGAAATACCTAACTATCGTGCTGTCCCTTTTCCAGGTCGGCTTCTAATTTCGAGTACCTAGATAATACCTTGGTATTCCCATTGATTGATCACAAAAAATACGGGTATTCCGGTAAGGTGACGAGAATGGGGGCACCTGGGAGGTTAATCTTACGTAAATATTTCTCGAACAATGTCTTGCGCCGCCACTGAGGGGTAGCAGGTGGCAAGTGCATTAGCCGTTCGCATTCTCCACCGGGGGGCAGCACAAGCTGCGAACGAGCAATCTCCCAACTCATCCCTGCTCAGGGCGTTTATTACGTATTTTTGACGAGAGCACTCACCTCTCGCACTTTCATCTCACGTGGGTTTATTCGCCGAACTACGTATTCGCTATATGAAAGAACGAGATCATTAGCATTTCCGGTCTAGTAATATTGTTTAATAAAGGTAGATACCTTGTGAATAGAAAATGAGCCAATTCATATGAATGGTCTCGCTTTTTCACCACCAAAAACGTTCGGTAATACCGTGAGCTACTCATTTTTCACATTTTCGCTCAATTTGCTTTACGCAGTAGCAGCATATCTCTGCGCAATAGACCTCCTGACTGTATTGCCTTTGGTGGAGAATGTGACCGACATACCCGGCTGCAGCCGTGGCGCCATCTAGCGTTAGCGGGCGGTAACACATCCACGTTTACCGACTACTCTTAGCGAAGACGTACGTCTCTTAACCGACGGCATCGAACCTTACCCTGTCTGCAGTACGTAAGATTAGACAGGCAACAAAATGTCCCGCCATGAAATGTGGCAAACCGTTTCAGCAAGCAGCTGTAAAATAAGCGTGGGTCGCGTTCAACCGTATTCTTGTAGAATATTCAATATATTTATGCTCATATCTTTACAGTCATTTAGTTTCCTACGCGACCGCAGTTGCGCGACGATTCAGGTCCGTTTTAGTTTTGATTACCATATAGAAACATTTGCGGAAATGTTTTTTGGAATACCTGTGCTTGTTAGACTACGATACATTTGGTTATGCGCATAACTTAAGTTCGGGTCGAATTAACGAGACGAGGATGTCGTCCCGTGAAAGGTTGAAATTCCGCGATGAACGACGACACCTTAAGGGGGCCTCAACGTTTTCATCGTATGATGGTCAAAGAAGCCTTCGTGCCGATGGCTCATCTTGAAATTCGATGCTTTGAATCCCTCGAAGGATAAACGATCTTGAGAACCATCAACCAGACTCTAGGGAGTCATCGTAAATCCTTAAGCACTTTGAGTACCCGAGCCATATACTTTGCATCGTTCTTGACCGAGGACCGGGAGCGTTACAAGACTAGTATACCATTTAAAATGTTTTAAACACTTCCGTGTCGCTTTCATACAAAGTGCACGATTTCTCCTCAACCTGTCGTACTTAATGCAAGTGTCTAGACAAAAGTCTAACGCAAAAAATAACGCACGTTCCAGTCAGGTCACCGCTTTCGCAACGAATCTCCAAGTGGATAACCTGCCATCCAGAACCGTATAAATAGTGATTTCTTTCTTTTTTCTTTTTTTTTTTTTTTCATAATACAGAACGTGCACCGAAATACATGCTTGGATTACATTTAACCGACCAACGTGCTCGCGGAATCCGCAATGTATCTCTTAAACACAAGGCCACGGCGAGTTTGATCATTCGCAAGGACTGCAAATATTACAGCACCTCGGTGCGGTAATTTGCACAAAATCGTAGTTAATATTCCGAAGACTTCGCTCGTGAAGTCGCACCTCCGCGAAGGATGCGTCGAGGTAAGGCGATTCCTCGAGTCGAAAGTCCTAGAAAGATTATTGTCCTTCTTGATCGTCCCTGGGAAACTAGTTTACGTTATTCTAAACGAAAAGAGAACAGTGGATCACCTTCCTCCTATTTATTTACACCGACATTTAGACCAGCCGACTTGGAATCGACCCTATACAATTGATCAGCCTCCTCTGATCCACGATGGAGGATCTCTTTCCAAAGGGTCTATAAGGAGACCCTAGATTTCGTTAAGACAACCCCATTAAAGTTCGTTGGCCTTGGTCCTTTAACGACTCGCAATTTTTTACCAGGTCCCCGTTATCGACGTATCGATTAAAACCCTATCGAGTTACTCGTAACGACTACATAAAATCCTGTATAATTATTTGCGACGATTTACACGGTTACTCCGTGCTGGGCTAACAGCTGCTTCCTCTGTATAAGGCTGGGCGACTCTTCGTTGTTATCCAAGGACTTGGCCGTGTCGAAGGACTTGGAGGTCTTGAGGTTGTTCAGAGCCTTCAGACAATTGTTGGTCGATATCTCCAGCGACTTGGAGCTCCTCATGGAGGCGTTCGCTAGCTTCTTGATGGTCTCGGAGATGGGGCACTTGATGAAGTCCGCCCTCTCTTTGTCCCGGTACCTTTGATTCTCCTCGGCCTGAAGCGCCGAGTCCTTAAGGTTCTGGTGGTTCTGGTAGTTCTGCGGATCCTGCAGGTTCTGGTTATTCTGCCCCGAATCCATTCGACGGTCTTCGTTGACCTCGTCCCGTTGGTTGCTCTGGCGGTTCTGCAATTTCTGCAAATTCTGCAGACTCTGGCGATCGTCCTCCTCCTTCCCGAACCGATCGCCGTCACAATTTCTAGACCCATCCCCAAGGTCCACAAGATCCGAGGGCAAGGTTCCTTCGACCCGGGGCTCTTCCTCGCCTGCGATCTCCTGCAGACCCTGTTCCTTTTTCCCACCCAGAAGAGACTTCGGTGGAGCCTCGACGTACCCGCTCTCGTCGCTGTCCGCAGCTTCCTCGTCAAGGGAATCCAGGGTGAAGAAGTCATCGCCTTCCATAAAGTGGTCCGCCTTGTCGCCAGGGAACTGGTCGTTCCTGAGACTCTGAAGACTCTCCCCTCTGTGCAGAGGACTCTCCCCGTGGGGCCTGTAGTCTACGACCTCGTCGAAGTCCTCCACATCCTCGAACTCGAAGAGCCGACTCAAAGGGTCCTCCTCCTCTCCCCCGACCTCCCTGCTGGAGAATTGCTTCCTATTGGCGGAACAAGCCAGGAACTTGGGACTCCCGGCACAGGTCATGAAGTTAGGGGAGCCCTCGGAGTTCCTGCGAGGTCCGATTCCTCCGGGACCTTCGGGGCCCAAAACTTGGTCCCTGAAGAAGACCCTTCTGGGGCTTCGCGGCTCCGCGCTCTCCTGTCCGGTCGTTTCCTCCACCCCTGGGGTGCGTTCCTCGCTGTTGGCCGTGCTGGCCGTGTCGCACCCGCTGGAGATGCTCCCGTTCTCGTCGGATGACTCCCCCAGGGCCACGCGGTTCAACGCCTCTATCAACCTGGCCAACCTCCAGCCATCCTGGTCCTGCCAACTGCGAGCCACGTTCTCCAGGGACCTCAGCTCGTCCAGCAACCGCTTTTGCTCGATCTCTTCCGCCACGGTGTCCTCCTCGATGGCGGACAACTTCGGCGCCGACTTCGACCTCTCCAGCGGTGGTCGGTAATTCTGACCTCCGGTGCTCAGCAGGATCTTCCGACGTGGTAACGAAGGATTCTCGTACACGGCGTTCGCCAGCGACAGCCTGGAAAAGAATTCAGCCCCATTATCCTTCTTCTTAATCAACGCAAAATACAAAACTAGGAGGGCTATGCCCGCGAAAATCAATTGCTTAAAGCTGGCACCCTCACCTTTACAAAATTCAAATTTCTTTGTCTTAACATTTTGTGCGGATCATCGTTGGAAAATCGGCAAAAGCGATTTTTATTTTCCTTTTTCATAACCAATTGCCTTTGACGCCATGCGACCGATTAACGCGCAACGTGATTCGTCAAGTTTGGCAATTGGTGACAATGTTTCCGGGATTTTCATTTATATTTGCAATTTCCAAATGACTGTTTCCAGCATTAATTACCATGATTCCCTGAACGAACAAAAAAAGAAAATCGCCAGCGAAAGTCAACGCTCCGTTATAGGGCCGCAGGTGATCTTGAATTCCTCGCGTTGACGGCTGGGCCAGAGGTCACGGCCCTGATTCTTGACCCAAATCGCGTCCCGCCGCGGCCAGCCGCACGCGGAATCGCAATCGCCTCTCTCGTGACCCCCTTCAACTCCTACCGAATCGAGGATTCTCGAGACCTCACGTCCGCGAGATCGATCGTTCTCCATTGACTCCGGGGGGGAGCTCGAAAGTCATCGAGGTTCTCCCCGAGACAAACGGAAGAATGGACGCTGCCGCAACCCAGCGTCACGCAGACGCGGATCAAAGATCGCGCAATTTGCAGATGTAATTATTGGCCCCGGTTGCGCCGACGTCAGAGCGTTAAATAATCCCGACAGCATCCGACACGCCGGACCTCACCTCGCGGACAAGAAATCGAAACCGCCCCCTGGTTTCCGATTAACGCGCGAACCATTTCTTACCGCTAAGGCGCGGGACCTTTGGTCGAGTATTGCCTGCACGGTCAGGGGAATCTCGCCCCTACGTCGAGAGAGTTAAAAGGTTCCAAACGAAAGGTCCCGCCACCCATTAAGGTGAAGTGAAACACCCTTCAAATCAGTCGATTCGAATACAACACTTTTTTTTAAGGGTGTTAGACCAAACTGTCCGAAACTTTGACACGTCACTCCTGATCGGAAACGTCGGCAACGTAGGCATTTAGAAAAATCACCTTTGCCGACGTCGATCAAGTTCCTCGACGTGTTTCACTTCACCTTAATGGGAGCGAGGCGGGAATTGATAAGCGCGGATCTCGATCCAGTTCGGAGGAAATGTGGCCGAATTAGGGACGTGAGGGTTATCCGACCTCTCGGGGCGCCCTTGGCTCTCGAGACGGCGGATAACAGTAATCGGGACCAGAGATACCGTTGGGTGCTCCGGATACCGACCTGGCGTTCTGCCTGGAGACCTTGTCCCTCCTGAACTCGAGGAGCGCCTGCTGGAGCCTTGCGTTAAGCGTGGAGGCCAATCTCCTGGCGGTGGACTCCTTGGAGCAGAGGGCCGCGTGGCACCTGAGCTCCGGCCTTAATCGGCGACCCTCGTACCTGTAGACCCAGACGAAGAGTCGAGGGTGCGAGGCCGGAGCCGTGCAGTAGGTCACCCGGTGGGCCCAGTATTCCGTCAGCCCGTGGTCCTTCGTCGTGGCCGTCAGGCCACCGTTCGTCACCGTCAACCGCATCGACACGTCAGGTCGGCTGCTGCTTACGTAGCTCCTCCACAGGGTCGTCACCGGCTTCTCCACGCAGCCTTCGCCTGTAAGAACGTCGAAGAGTATTAAAAGAAGGACGACGAAAGATGAAGGATGCCAAAGGATGTCGAAGGAACCTTCCCCATAGGAGAGCCCAGCCGTTAAGGTGATATGAAAGGGTCATTCTATATATCAAAACGTCAAAATATTGATAAAACTTATATTAGAACTGGGTGCACCGAATCATTTGAAACCTTCACCACGTGATTATGGAGGTCCTAAAGAAGAACGCGATGCTCGTGAAAAATGAAATTTCAGGGCCTCCATAATCACATGCTGAGGTTTCTAATGATTCGGTGCATCCGGTTTGACGAAAAAATGTATCAATATTTTCACGTTTCATACATATAGAATGATCCTTTCGTATCACCTTAAGGAGTCAAAGAGATCTCGGTGATACCCCTCCGAACTGGATGTACCGAATCATCTGAAATCTTTTCCACGTAGACGTGGACACCCCAAGAAAGGTCCCGACACTCGTGAGATTCTCATTTGACGAATCTTTCTTATAAGAAAATTAATTTATTTAGAGAAAACGGAATATTCGTGGGGGTCAGGACTTTCCTTAGGACCTCCACGTCCACGTGGAGCGACGTCGAAGGATGAACGTTACACCTAATTCCTGAGAAAACGTAAATGAAAGCCTCGCGTATCACCTTAACCCCGCCAAATCGTATATTAGGGATCCCAATTAACCCCTGCGCGTGCGCATGCGTAGTTTTCCGAGCGTGCTCGGATTGCGTTACTAATTCAGAGATACAGGAAACGCCGGTACAGTTACTTGCTCGTCTCGGTCGCTTCTCTTGCCGGCGACCATCCGAGGTCGATGAGGAACGAGGGGGAACTAGGAAGTGCTAGAGATGCGACGCTAACTTCGTTAACCGTGATAAGTGAAATCCTGCTGATTGGAAAATCCTTTATCAGCGCGCACCTCCCCCGAGCGAAAAAAATGGAGAAAATTCACTGCAAGGGGTCGAGAGTTCGGATGGACCTCTCATTTCCGTGGATTCGATATCCCCTCGTATCTATTATCAGACAATGGACTCCTTTGATATCTCCCTAATCAGGAGTTTTTCCTGTCGTGGATTTTTGCACCCCCCCTCGTAATTCCAACTTAAAAGATTTTCTTCGCCGGGAAATTGGCCGTTTCTTCTCGCGGGATTTCTTATCGCGGCAATACTATATACGTTTCCGTGCAATTTCCTCGGTATGTAAAGTGGGTAAGGATTGTTTTATCGTCTGGCCTTTGACGCGTTACGCAACCGCCGGTGTAATTACTCCTCCGTACCCTGTTAACTAATTGTAAGAGGGTCCCGGAACGAAGGCCGGTGATTATTCACGACTCGACTCCTCAACCCGGTCAACACATCGTCATCTCATTTCACCGAGCCGTCATTCATGATCCCAGGATTCGAGTAATCCACGTAATCCACGTAATCCTACGCACCTCCTCGAGACCGTCGTAACGACCCTTTCGGAATAGAATCCGATAATCGCGTCTTGCGCAATTCCCGATAACACACCACTTTTAATCAACCTGCCGATTATTCGGAGTAGATCGCGATAAATTACACCTGACGACTTTAAACTGGTAATTACGCTCCAAAAAGCTCCACGTGCGAGTAAAATACACGTTATTAACTTCGACGTGTAACGACTGATGGAAGAAAAAAAACGCCACTTCTCGTCGTATCGATCCAATTATCATTTTTCCTCGTGTATCTTTTTTTCTTTTTCTGCCTTCCTTTTTCTATTTCGGCGTGTACTATTCGCGACAGCCGAGCGTCGATTCCCTCCGTTTTTGCCGTAATGATGGATTGAAAATTGTTGCGAAACGGTAGACCAGCCTCTTCCCCTGATATAAGGGGACCAAGTTTTATGCCTCGTAAAACATTTATTCATGGCTTTCGAGATGATATACCCAGCTGCCGTGACCCCGTTCTCTCTCGTTTCGACTATTAATTCCGAAATGCCGCGAAAAACGGGAAGGTCGAAATTCCGAATTGCCGCGAAAAACGGGAAGGTCGAGATTCCGAAATGCCGCGAAAAACGGGAAGGTCGAAATTCCGAAATGCCGCGAAAAACGGGAAGGTCGAAATTCTGAAATGTCGCTAAAAACGGGGAGATCGAAATGCCGCAAAAAACGGGAAGGTCGAAATTCCGAATTGCCGCGAAAAATGGGAAGGTCGAAATTCCTAAATGCCGCGAAAAATGGGAAGGTCGAAATTCCGAAATGTCGCGAAAAACGGGAAGGTCGAAATTCCTAAATGCCGCGAAAAATGGGAAGGTCGAAATTTTGATAGGGACTTCAAGCCGCCCGTAACAGTCGTCGTCGAGACGCTAAAACCTGCCAAGATAAATAGATTCACCGAAGGACGTCATCTCGTCATCATTCGTTATAACCATTTTTGCCTCTGGACAAGCTCAACCCGCGAGGAAAAAAATTCCATTTGAGAATATCTCGCGCGTCTCCCTTCGGAAGTGGAATAATTACGGCGTTGTATATAAAAAAAAAAAAGAAGAAGGAAAATCCTCTCGGAGCGACAAGACGCCATTCCTTGAATTTCAATTCATTTAATTCGGGATCGTCCGTTTATGCCGGCCTTTAAATACGACTTACGTAACCGGGATTTCGATATCAATCGCACTTCCCGGATCGTATCTGATATTAAGCGCTTCTGTCATATCTATCTGGAATCGATATCCCCGATAACGGGTGTACATACTCATCGGGTTTCTATTTTCGTTCCCTCCTTGTGGATTCCCAAAACCGGGAGTCCGCGATAAGGCTTATCGCCAAGTCGAGGAAAATAAATAATCGATATTTATAAATAAGGGTAATGAATGGAGGCGATCGATATCGAGAGACGTCGTTCGAAGGATCATGGAACTCCCCGGAATTACAGACAAGTGCATGTCAAGCATTGTTTTATATTTTCTGTTTAAGGGATCTCGTGATTTAATTCTTCAGCTGGCAATAATTGTTAATCAACCGGAAAGGGAATATTTTTATATTCGGTACATCCCAACTGATTTCGGGCGACATTTGTGCCCATAATTATGAAAGTGGTCTAAGTCAAAATTGAAAAAAATGAGTTTATCAGTTATTTCACGCCACATTATTTCAAACGAAATTAATTCAATGTAATTTCGAAACAAAAAATATATAACTTAGACCACTTTCATAATTATGGGCACATTTAACCACGTAAATGTGTATCTGGCAGAGTCTCTTGATGCTGTTTTTATTTCTCGTCGCTTTTATTTATTTTTTTTTTTTCTTATTCGAGGACCGAGATAAAAATGGCGGATCGAACGACGATCAGCTGTTCGACCGCGCCACGTGTTGCGCTGACTCCCGCCACGTGGCCGCGATTGAAACTCGCACAGAGGGCCCAAACCCGCTCTCCTCGTTCCGCACAGGAAACGGATGATCGATAACGTTAACGCGTCGTTATCGGAATCGAAGCCGCGAGGTAGTCGAATCTCGATCCGCCGATTTCTGAACGGCGCGTTTCCGTGACTTTGAACGCGTCCACGGGGATCGATCGGTCGATAGATCGCACGTGATCGATACCGAATGCCGGGCGGAGAGATCGCGACGTAACGGCCTGCGGGACCATTATCGGTCGACCCAGTAGCGGCCTCTGGTATGCGGAGAAAGTAGGGACTCCCCGAGGCTGCGCCTATGTCCGGTCAACGCACCGCCCCTTTTCCCATTTTTTACCCCTTTTCCCCATCTCGTAATCGAATAAACGTTTCCGGCAATCACCAACGGACCCTTCGAACGAGCCCTTCCCGATTTTCCGCGCGATTCCCGCCGCATCTTCGATCCCACATCCGGTCGACGGCCATCTTTTCTCATTTCTAAAATATCTATTATCCACCTACCGGCAATTTTTCCATTATTAAATCTTTATCATACACCTGCCTTATCCTCGTTTCGCAAGATCGGTATTGTTTACAATCCGCAGGGGATTTCATTCCCAGTTCCTAACCTTGAAACTCGGCCTTTCCGGAGCCGCCATCTTCGTCGAAGTGATCGAGGAAATTATTTCTTTTTTTTTTTTTCCAACTCACGTGGCGCCCGCAATCGATTCCGCGTACCGATCAATCGTTAAAGCGCCGCATCGAGATTCCTGGACAATTCCGCCGTTTAATCCGGCCCAGATCATGCGACACTTGTCGCGGGGAGAAATTCCTGCGCACTTCCGGAAGACCCGTCATATGCTAAGCCGTGCCTCGAATGCCCGATCCCTAATTACGCGGCCGATTAACGGGCGCAATTGTCATTTCGTCGTTTGCCGATCCGCCAATTGGCCCTGAGGAACAATTAGGAAGTTTCGCTTGTTTTCGGACCGTCCCTCGATTTACTGACAATTACCGGAAGATCTTTCAACCTTCCGGAGCTTCTTCGGCATCTTGGTCACTAAGGACTCCTTCGACGTCTTATATTAAATATTTATTTTTATAATAAATTTCCTTGACGAGAACATGCCGGCAAGAAGAAGGAAAAAGTCTCATTGAACAAATTTCCATCATTTAATTTAATTTCAGGTAACGTTTCGGTTAAGTTAACAAATCGAAGCGTCAAAGTGAAAAGATCCAATATTTTGGATGAGATGTACCGAGGTACTTGGATATTCCATTATCTACCACGATGTCGGATATAATTGAAAAGTCATTAACCAATCAATTTTCGTTGTTCATATAATAATCATATGATTGAACCGACATAAATTGTCTCCTTTCAACCGAAGTATTTTTCTGCGTTTACGCGGCTCGTTTTGCAATCTTTCGAAATTGGACGGATAAATCCGACATATCGGGTGACGTTTACAAGTACTAGAGGTGTTACTGGTCATCCGAGTAGCACGGTTACCCGATAGACGGGAGGAGGTTCTCTTTAATATTCATTTACACCCAGCAACGCGATAATCCATCTCGGTAATCGCCGAATGAGTTTATCGGCGAATTCCTCGTCTGCCGATCCCAAGGAAGACCGTATCAAATTCCCGATATTCATGACCCCGGATGTTATTATTAACCATTGCGTGGTCGGTAACTGCGGTCTCTCGGCCGTGATAAGACCAAGTGGAGGGAGCCTTTTTTTCTTTCCTTCGTATGTTCTTTTTTCCAACAATGTCAGTCCACGAGGCAGGAGCCCCCTACCGTCAAGCTCCGACCTGATAGCGCAGACGTCGCGGAAGTCCTTATCAGGACTTATCGCGAGTTATCTCGATCTTCGATACGGTAAGAGAGGAGAGGCGCAAGGAGAGACCTCCTCACGAGGTTTCGGAGTACTTTCCAGGTCGTGCCGACGAGAGACGTCCTCGAAATTTGAAAAATGGACAAAACAAAAAACAAATGAAACGGCCCCCATTTTTGGCCCGTCCGATGGGCACGTTCTTCAGGGTCGCGACCTTATCATGGCGTATCACGTCGAGATGTTGAGTAGGGACTCGGAATGTTTAGTAATGGGCAGAAGAAAAATGAAAAGCGACCCTCACCTTTGGCCCAGCCGGTGGGCACGTTCCCCAAGTAGGCGACCTTGTAGGAAGGATCGTACTCGGTGATGGAGGCGTTGCCCCTGCGTCTCCTCCAGAGTTTCCCGAGGCCCCTCTTCAGGGACCTCAGGGTCCTCTGTCCGAATTCCTTGCCGCCGCCGACGAGGCCGTCGGCGTCGACGTCGGGGACCTCCTGATCACCGGCTCTGCCGGAGGTAGCCAGGTCGTCCGGTGGCACCGCCACGACGTCCTCGGTGGTCTTCATGGTTCCTCTCGGGAAGGAGTCCTTCCTATCTCGCACTTTGGGCAGGACCGATGGCCTCCGGTTACCCGTCCATCTCGAAGAGACCTCCGACGGTCTACATCCTCGCGTCGGTTAGGATTGTTCCCCAGTGGGTCGATCGGTTGCACTGGCCACGATGTTCACCGTGCCGATGCTTTATGCCGCCGTCATCCGCTCCCACCTCCTCCACCGACCCCGACGACCGGCTCGAAGAGCGTCGACGGTAGGGACGATCGGTTCCTCGAGGTGTCGGATGGATTTTCGTCCTCTTCCAGGACCAACAGGGGATAACAAAATGGCTCCCTAATTGGACCTGGCCACCTCTTTCTGTCCTCGTTACCGGCCCCTAGGTCCAGCGACTCCAACCGACGATCTTCCGCCCGGTCTCCCCGAATGACGCGACTTTCTAGATTTGCCTTGGCTATTTTAAACCCCGACCGGGGGAAATGTCGAGGAAATCGAAGAAATCGGATCGCGCTATCGGTCAGGTACCGTTCTCTTCAAGGTCCGCCGATTGCTTTGCCGCTCGGCTGATTTTAGTAATCGCGCTTTCGACCGATCGGCCCACGCCGCGGTCCAGCTCGATCGCTCTCGTGGATGCCTCTTCGTCTTCCCTATTATCTGGCTTTTCGTCGATGCGATTTTTCTACCGACTTCCTGAGGTCGGGCCAATGATAAGGCTCGGTGACGAGATACTTCCAAGGGATGAAATAGCGTCCCTAGGAAGGTAGCCAGGCGATTCTTCACCCCTGAAGTGCGTGCTCGAGGCCGATTGGTCGACGCTACTCCCTTGGGGTCACTTCCTCGCGTGCTCCGTCTTCCTCCGGGATCGATCGATCCTTGCTTCCTGCAAAAAGATCCCAGATTAGTCCCGATGAGTGGAGCTTCGCCGGCTTGGCTCTCGAGTGGGAAAATTCACGAGTCTTCGAGATAGATAAAATGAATCATTGCAAAGAATTCGTGCGAAATTAACCCTTGCAAAGAATTCGAGCAAAATTAATCCTTGCAAAGAATTCTTGCGAAAATAACCCTTGCAAAGAATTCGAGCGAAATTAAATTCACTATTCTTCGAGACAGCTAAAATTAATCATTGCAAAGAATTCGTGCGAAATTAACCCTTGCAAAGAATTCTTGCGAAATTAACCCTTGCAAAGAATTTGAGCGAAATTAAATTCACGATTCTTCGAGACAGCTCAAATTAAACATTGCAAAGAATTCTTGCGAAATTAACCCTTGCAAAGGATTCGCATGAAATTAAGCATTGCAAGGGATTAGTGAATAATTAAGCATTGCAAAAAATTGGCACGAAATTAAACATTGCAAGGAATAGGTGGAAAATGAACCATCGCAATGAATTCGCTGAGAATTAACGAGACGATCGTCAACCAGAGGGGCCTCGTCGTGGGTCCTTATCGAAGGCGATAAGTCGAATGTCGGTAATGCAGTCGAGACAGGATGTCGGTTTCGTGCCGGAAGGTCCTCGTGGTTTTTGGGACGAACAGGGAAACGGAGCCTTGGGAGTACCGATTAACTAATCACCCCGATTACCCCATCTCTCGAGTCGCCCCGCTAGTCGTGAAGTAAAAGAAATGTATTTTTAATATGTTAATAAGTTAGAAAATATTTCTCTATATGTATATAAATTATTGAAACTAAATGTGTCATTGAGATTTTCAAGAGATATTTCAGATATCTTCGAATTAAGTCTACAAGAGATCTTAAAAAATCTGTCGCTCGAGATATTCAGCAAAGATTGGAAAGAAATATTTAAAAAATTATTCTACGCTACTAGGGTATATACGGCCCGAAAACCCGTCACCTTCGACCAGCGATTACGGAAAATCGCAGGTTGCGCGACTTTTCCCTGTTCCTGCATCGCAATCTTATGCAATGATGCGTTTTATCAACAGTGTTGCAAGAAGAAAAAAAAAAAGTCTCTGCCGGTTTTACTCCAGCCGCGACTCGTCCACACAACTGGCCCGTGTGGACTTCTCTGATAATAAGAGGATAAAGAAATTAAAAAAAAATAAAAAATAAAAGGAAACACGCTCCCAGTAAAAACCGAATCGAATCTTCTCGTGACGCGTCGTCGCGTCATCGAGAAATTTCCGCCTGGAATATTATATATCAAATGTTCTCATCTCGGAGGTGGGACGGCGATTATGCAAATGGGCTCGATAATAAACGGCGGCAACCTAACCTCTCATTCGCGTTCGTAACGACGCTCGCAAGGCATATACCGTCTACAGGCGTCGATTCCTCCGTCGATTTTCGAAATCTCGACCGGTGAAAGTCCGCCGAAAATATCAGGAGAGAAAAAGAGAAAGAGAGAAAAAATATATGCACAAAAGAAAAATCCCCGCCAAATTGCGCAATCCCGCCGCTAATTGCCCGGCTCGGCATATTTTCCGCAAAAGCTCGCAATTAAACGGACATTCCGCCGCGTATGAAAACGTAGTTGCATAAGCAAGCGAAGCGAGGCATCGACTCGAAATTACTCTAAGGCGGTTATTAAAATCGAGTAAAATCGGCCGGCATTTAACCCTTTTAACACGGAGCCATTTCGACATATGGGCGAAATTCGCCTGACCGTGCATGCAATATTCGACCAAACGTCGGACGCCTTTAGGCACTCTTAGTAGCCAAAGGGTTAAAGTGAAGTAAAACACGTTGAGAAAAGTTTCATCAATACCTTTACGTTTTATTTATATAGAATGACCATTTCATATCACCTTAACCCTTTGTACTTGGAGTCATTTCGATATATGGGCGAAATTCGTCTGACCGTGCATGCAATATTAGACCAAACGTCGGGCGCCTTTAGGCGCTCTTAGTAGCCAAAGGGTGAAGGAGAGAGGCCTCTTTCGAAAATTCCCGGAGACCCTAACGAATCCGAGGGAAGATTTCCGCGAGCACGTATCTCCCCCGCGTAATCGCCCGGCGGTAATTCTCGGTAATCCTGGCACTTAAGAACTCGTATGTGTCATTACGTGCCATCCTTGCGGTGCAATTATCGCAATCCCAGAGACATGGCCGGCCAAGTTCAAGGATGCGCGAAATCATAAGTTGTACGACGTATACCCTGACACGGTCACGAGGAGTGTCGTTTCCGCCGGCGGATATTCCGCGAGCGTTTCTCGTCGCTGTCGAAACCGAGAGAATCGTTTCCGGAAACGGCTACGCGTAAACGCAAGCCTCGTTGAAAAATAAAATCGGGAGGAATGGTCGGTGCGCGAGGATGTTTCCCAAATATACGTATCTCCCTCCTCGATGTTAATCCGGTAGGAGAAATATTTTACATTTTTTTATTTATCATTTCTCAACCCGCGAGGATACGCACCGACGACGCGGTCTCCGACGACGCCCACTATGGACGCAGAAGACGCACCTCTCGTGGGATTTCTTCAAGCCCTCGGCATCGCCGGACATGTCGCAATAACCAGGTGGGACGTAAGGATTTTTCGCAATACTTGAAGGATGTACGCGCGAGGTAACGAAGGAAGTACGCGTAAGAGAAGAAGAAGAGACTAGAGAAGAATAAGATGTCCCACCTAAGCGCATAAAAATCGAAGAGAGACGAGCTTCGAAGTTGGCCAAGCCTTAAAGCGTCCCCAAAGGGTCATTCTATATACATGAAAACCTGAAAATGTTCATAAAACTTATACATATAGAATGACTCTTTCATAACACCTTTAAGGTGAAGTGAAATGAAGTGAATATAAAAACGAAAGTCGGCAACGTAGGCATTTAGAAAAATCTTCTTTATCGACGTCGATCGAGTTCCTCGACGTGTTTCACTTCGTCTTAAGTAATCGAGGTTTCGGTGAATACCGTAAAAAGTGCATAAAGCACAGTCAGCGCTGACGAGTGGAGGGAAGGAGAGAAAAAATGACTTTCGGTGCCTTTCTCGCCTTTTTCGGAAGCGAAGGAAAGCGGGGCCGTCGTCTCTCGGGAGTAAATGATACACTGTCATTTGGAGCAGTTAAATTTACATCCTTCCGACGGTAATTGGGGGGGAAATCGGGCTTTTTAAATAGGGGAATGCAGGGAGGACGACGAGACGCGTTTCCCCCGTTGCCGAAACGCAGGTTCGTCGCTCCTTTTTCCCCGCTCATAATACGGGGAGCTAATCGGCGCGTTTCGACGCAACGCGGGACTTTCGCCGCGGCTCCGCGTTTTCACGTGTATTCCGCGTAAATCTCTCTCCTTTTCTCTCTTTCTCTCTCTCCCTCGGAAGCAAAGATACGCCTCGAGATTGCCCGCAACCTTGGAGTACCGACTCGATTTCTCCGGCTACCGCGAGAAACGGCCTTTCATACCCGGTGCATGCAAATTAATCGCATAGCCGGACGACACGACCCGTCTCGCGTTTTCCGCAACGAGTCACGGAATTATCCGCACCCGACCAGATTTCGGCTACTCCGAAACCGACCACTCGAATCCCATTGTCCGAGGTCAAGACGAAGCCTCCGCTCCTTCCTCCCAAGTTGCACGAAATTCCACCGAATTGCAGAAAATTGCAATGAAATTGCATCCCGCGCCGAACTCGAATTTATTCCCTTCGCCTCTTAACGCGCGCGACCCACATTTCCAGCCGAGCATTCCGCGCGCATTCCCCCGCGTATCGGGACGCATCGAAACGCACGCGGTATATCTCCCGTTACGGTTCTTCCGCGGTCCGCCGCTCGGAATGCGAAATGCAAAAACGATACGCTTCCCTTTCGATTCCCACACCGAGCGGCTCGATCCCGTCGCCGATTTTTCGCGTCCGCTTCCGACGTCGTTTCCGCCGGCGGCCGATCGGTTCCGGTGCCGCTTTCTCCGCATCGGTCGTTCGCTCCGTGCATCGGTTTCGACGTCGATTCGAAATCCCCCGCTTATTTGGAGAAGCAGAAACGATTGTTTTCGTTTTCTCGAATTTTCGTACTTTAGCATTTTCACATTTTCGCATTTTCGCATTTTCGCATTTTCGCATTTTCACATTTTCGCATTTTCACATTTTCACATTTTCGCATTTTCACATTTTCGCATTTTCGCATTTTCGCATTTTCGCATTTTCACATTTTCGAATTTTCACATTTTCACATTTTCGCATTTTCGTTATTTCGCTTTTTCTTTTTTTTTTCATTTTTCCGGAGAATCAGGCAATAAAGATGGTCCCTATCTTCCACTCGTACGTTCCATATCCGTTCTCCACTTTCATCCGACTCTCCCGATCTCCTCTTCCTCCCTGCATCCCGTCCCCGCCCAATGTCCACTTTACATGAAAGCGGCCAAACTTTCGCCGGTGTCGACGGCCTTAAGACGCGTTCTCGTCCAATCGCGGAGAACCGTCGACGCCTCGGGACGTCGATTGTTCATCGTAAGAGATACCGGGCGCGTGCAAAGAAGAATGGAAAAAAAAAACGGAAAAATACCGCCAACTTCCTAAATCACTGTTGGAAATACCTAGGACGCGTTTTAAGAGGAGACAAAAGGGGTAGAAAGGGGGAAAAAAAAGGAAATACGATTCGACTTTTAAAGCACCACCGATCACCGGGCAACGTTGCGCAACCTCGGAGCCAATTAGAATTCTTCCTCGGCGTGGAATCGCCGTGGAATCGGTAATGGCCATTAAAAAGTCGTTACGTTCCTCCTTATACCACGCGAGATACAATGGATTACTCCCAGGGACGATAACAACCCAAATCATCTAATTCTCTCCCTCTCCCTCTTCGCTACGTGACGATCGGCGACCGCCTAATGGCGGAAGTCAAACGAGTCGTCTAATATTTCTCGATGAACGTCCTCGGGCGACGATAACCGAACACGGTGGAATTTACCAATCGACCTTTTTTCGCCATTTTTAACATGACGCGAAATCGAGATCCCTCGGGGGGAAAGAGAAAATTCACCGAACCGAAGAAAGATTTCGTCGATTCAAAGAGTGAGTCCTTTGACCGAAGCTTCCTTCGGGATTCCGACAATTAATTAAAGTGTAATAACTATTCTTAGTGTTAACGAAGATATATCTTCGGTACCGATAAAAGATAACATTACACCGGTTCGATGAATTCGTTTGATTTTCTCTTTTTTTTTTTCCTTTTTCTTTTACAGTGCAGTGCCACCTGCCAGGATGGATTCCTCTTCCCTTTTTTTCCTTCACACCTGGCAGGAAAGCGTCGTTAGAATTTCCGTCACACCGCGGTGAGCGCCGCTCGATCGTCACTCGGCGTGGATCATCGATCCATCGATCGTCTCCCTCGCCGGAAGTCGAGGGGGAGAGTACCTCGTCCCCTCGAATTTCGCGGATTCTCCCCGCCGGCCTTCCGGAATCGGGATAGAAAGCGGAAACCGAGGGACGCCGCGCGGGGATACCACTTACCCAGCTTCCGGAGAGATTTCTTCCGTCGTCCCGCGACGCGTTTATTCCGCGGTACGGCGTCTTTGGGATTTTACGACGACTCCGATCCGACCGATCGAGGAAACGGTTCCCGAGCCGCCCGGGGCGTGCGGTAGAAAGTGCCGAGCCGCGCCGGAAGTGCCGCAGCCGTTTCGACACGCTGCGGGATTTCGACACCAGGTCTTTTTTCCGTCCAAGGAATTCATTCCGGGCGCGTCTTTTCGCCTACTTCCGGCCTCCAAGTGTCTTTTCCGAATTCTAATCTCGACCGATCCACCGCGACGCGTTTTCCGCTACCCTCCGCCTGCCGTTCGCAGGACGATCCGCGTGCGTAGACTAATTGCGGATTTCCTCCGTTGCCAATCCATTCTTTCCCAACATCCGCCATGTAACCGACTCGCTATCGCTGCGAATTAATACTCCACCCTGGGGAATCGGAGCGATTTCGATTCCCACCGAATCGCAGCCGGCATTTCCCATTTTCCGAATTTCCCCGAATTTGCCCAGTTAACTCGCAACATATCGCATTTATTTGTCCAATTTAGGCTAATCATCGCAGGTAATGACTAGGTCAGAGTTTCTTAATATCCCATCAAGGAATCCAAGATGGAAGGATTTAATCCCCGGGAACTGATTCACGATCGACTCGGTATGCGCTTTGAGTCATGCGGTGATTACAATTATGCTTATCGCGACAATTGCCCCCGTGAGTAATGCCGTTGTGCCTCTTTTCAGCATCGAAAGACGTCTTTCGGTCGTTCCAAGACAATCGACGACCGACGAGACGTTTTACACTAAGAAAAAAAAAAAAAAAAAATAAGAAGAACAAGCTATTGTTGGCTAAATGAAATATGCATAGCGGCACCAAAATCCTGCGGCCAAACAAGTCCGAAAGGAAATGTTACTCGAGTTAATGAAATTCATTTAAAGCGACCTCAATTGTCCTCGAGGAAATAATAAAATAATGTCGCAATTATATACGATTTCTTGATATATATTGTACGAAAACGATAAGTGGAGTATGCCATTTGGTGCGATACCCAATATAATTCTACCCATCTGTCGATATAAAAACCAACGTCGTCAACGTAGGCATTTAGAAAGATCTTCTTTATCGACGTCGATCAAGTTCCTCGACGAGTTTCACTTCACCTTAAGTCGTGCCGGAACATGCCCAGGAGATCGACCAGGAAAAAAAGATCGCAAACTCGGAATTTCTTACGAGAAAAAAGAAAATTAAAAATAAATAAATAAATAAATCCAGGCAGTTCGAGGTTCCTCTCGACGTTATTTCGAAAGATCCTTTCCGCCGCGATGCGGTATACCGCACTAATCACCTGTGCGGCGAGCAGAGCCAAAGGTATCGACCCTCAAGAGAGCACTCTAGAGAATCGCGTGATTTCGGTCCGCACGGTGCGAAGAGGATCCCCGTTGAAGGATCGCGGTGTCCCTGAATTTCGCCGAGTCCTGCCTAAAAAAAATATTCCCCTGGGAAGGATAGGTCCCTCGTAAAGTCGACCAATAGCGTAACGGATATAGCCGTCAGACCGGATCCACCGGGACGCGTCGCACCTGGAAGCCTAAAGAGCCTAAAAACTGCGAAAATAATATATAGATCCCCGACAAGGACGATCGTCCTTCCTCCTATATCAGACACCTCTCTCCCCGGAATCGACCTAATTAAGGTGAAATTAAAGGGTTACTCCATACACACCAAAACATTAATACAACTTTTCTCCAAAGTGGGTGCGCCGAATCATTTGAAACGTTAACACCTGAAATTTAATTTTTCCAAGCATTTTTTTTTTATTTACTCTAGACTAAAACCAGGATCGTATTTTTTTTTTTTCATGTGAAGAATGAAATTTTACGAAAATCGTGTTCTTCCTTAGGGCCTCCATAATCACGCGTTGAAGTTTCTAATAATTCGGTGCGCACAGTTTGGAGAAAAGTTTTATCAATATCTTGACCTTTCGATATATAGAATCGCCCTTTCATATCACCTTAAGTAGTGCCGGAATTTCTCCACCGACAGGCTGATGGCGAAATTCCGTCCCTACTTAATCTCGAATGGCAGGCGCGGTTTCGATCATTCGATGCTCGAGTCGATCGCACATTCGAGGCAGACATCGGGATTCTACTTTCACGGTAGATTATACTGATAACACGAACGAAGCTGTAGAGTGAGAGAAAAAAATACTATCGAGCCATAGGAATATTTTCTTAATTAAACAAATAATCATTTCACTCGAATAAACTCAGAATTGTCACAATTCCAAGGAAGTCTTTCATGGAATTTGTTCGAGTTCACTGGATTTAAATCATCGAATTAATATAGTATCCCTTTGGTATTACTTGAAGAAATATTCCTTGGGTTCAACGACACTTTTTCCCTTTCAGAGCGTATACCGATTAACCGTGAGATAGGGAAACTCTGGCATGGGCTGCAAATCCGTTTAGGTATAAATCCACCTGCGATTAAGTCGCACGTAAGGTAGAGAGAAGATAGGTTAGGTTAGGTTAGGTTAGATTAGGTTAGGGCAGGACTCCCGGCACGCGACGGTTATTTCGCGAATACATGGCCGGCTCTAAAATAGATCCTCGATAATATTACCGAGAATTTCAAGATATTCGATGACCCTTTCCGCCATCCCGACGGGATTCGATGGATCGATTCGATCGATACGGAGACCGAATTTCAAGTCAGGCCCGATTTCGCTCGACCCGATTAAACCCGACCTTGTTTCTCGCACGAGTCCCATATAAATCTCGCATATGTACTCCAGATAACACGGGTCTTGTCAATCGACCGCGCGATGGACAAATAAGAGCACTAGCTCCGCTCAGCCAGCCTCCATAAAAAAATAAGGTACACGTGTGTAAGTTCACTCGAGTATACATATACCACGAGACAAGAGCGACGTAAATGTTGCTCGGCTGATACGTAACCCTTCAGTGCAATTGATCTCGAGATCGGCAGAATAGAACGTGGATTTGACACCAATCGCTCCGCTGGAAACAATGCAGAATGAAAACCAGTCGAAAGAGTGGATAAACGTCGAGAAAGATCCGGCAATATGTGCTATGAGTAAAAGAAGGATTAACGCGTTTAAAAGCGCTCAAGTCTGACCGAGAGCCGCCCTTTAATCTACCTCTTCCCCCACCTCGCAACTTCGCGCTTGAGTATCTCCCACAGTTATTGCATAAACCGCTCGGAAATTGTCAGAATCTGTAGAAAAAAGGTGAATCTTTTTGTTACGTACAGCAGTGGCAGTGGAAGATCTTCCGCGAGGTTGTAAATCGGGTTTTCGGCGTCATAACCTCTTCCGAATGGCGTCAGTCAGCGTTTATGCGCGCACGTTTATCGAACCACAACGCGTAGCGGAGAAGAATGCGTTTTCCTGCTCTTCCAAGTCGCAACGTTCTCCGGAGGGACCGCGGCGGTTTCACCTGCGGCCAATCAGAGCCGACGTCCCGGAGAGCAAGGACCCGACGCGATTGATAGTCGCGCGCCAACTGACCGTTGTTCGCGCAACTGTCGTGGGTACCTGCCCGACCCCGACTCGTCTTCGGCCGACTTCGGCCGCCCTCGGGTCCCCTCGGCTCCGCGACGCGCGGCGTTGCCAAGCCTCCGCGTACCTGCGCACTCGCTGCACCTGTATCTCCCAGGACGTCGCGGAGTAAACACCGCCGAGAAGAAACGCTATTTCCGAGGGAGACACCAAATATCCGTTTCCTCTCTTCGACATTACTGGGGGGCGAATCGAAAGGTCGATTTTCCACCCGTTAAGAATTTACGGCCCGATAAACCCTGGAGTTTCTTCGAGTCGTCCCGATGCCGATGACCATTACGAAACGCCCGTTAATATCAGCTCTACCCAAAACCTCAAAAGAAACACTGCGACTTCGAAAATTCAAACTACGCAGAGAATGTCAGGGAGTGATTTGTAAATTGCAAATTAAAATTCCAGCTCTGTAACAGAAGTTTAATAAATGCGTTGAGCAAGACCTTTGCCGTGCCGTTTTCCGTTTCCCTTTATGCAACCTCCGTCGACGCGTAGCCTCTACTTAACGGGAGATGAAAAGACGAAATACTTTTCCCGACATGTACAACTTCGGATTTTATGGCCGTTTAAGCCATCATTTTGGCAGGCCATTCCTTTACTGCGGACCGGGCAATCGACGGTTGCTCGTGTCATTACGGAACGTAACTGCGCCATTTTTTTCCCTTCTTTCCCCCGGCATTAAAGCACGCTAAAAATGCGGCGCTTGTTGCTAAACAACAAGACGAGACGTAATCCCTGTATCAGAAAGAAAGCACAATTTACGTCACGTTTCTTTTTTGCCCGTCCATGCCGACTCGAACGAGCTCTAATATATGGTCTCTATTGCAGAGGTGAGTTATGATGTTTTGCCATCCGCCGGTTATTTATTACGATATCTACCGGCTGACATTTTATTCCAAGGTGATAAGGAAGACCCTGATAAGGTAGTAAAGTCGAAACCCGGACGCGATTCCGCGAGATGAACCCGAAGGGAAAAAAATATGGAACCCCGGAACGAAGTAACAAAGAACCAAGATGTCGCTTGTTAGGACGCATTAAAAAATGCAACCTTCTGTACGAATTTTATTTTTTATTCTTTCGACGGTTTTATTACACCCTTTTAAATAATGGATCTAACGATCGGATGCTGAATTAAATCCAGGGGACATTTGCACACTGACGGAGAGATTTGTAGTCCTCCTGTGCAAGTAGGTGAATACCTTTCTACAGGGTGGCGCAAACGCGCTAAATTCCAGAGATAGGAATGCATCGGGTCATTGACAATGTCTAACTAACGGTGATCAGCTCTTAGAGACTTGGAAAGCAATTCTCGTAACGACCTTGTCGGAGTTTTTTTTTTCCATAAATGCGCCGACGCTTTGAAAAAAAAAAAAACAAAAAAAAGAAGCGTTTCCCAAAATTCGACTCGTACCCCGAGACGAAAAAGACGTCACCGAACCAAAGAAATATTTTCTTAACACAAAGAATCATTATTCGAATAAACCGGAATTAATTGAGTGCGACGGGATTGTGACGACCGATTTGCGTTCATTCGAGTCACTTTGAATTATCGAAATATTCCTTCGGTTCACTGGATTCTTTTTTCTTTTTTTTTTTTCTTAGTGCACTCTTGATATTAACCGATGGACCAATGGAGAGAAATATTCTTTCCCCTTTTTGACGCTTCTCACGGTCTCGGCGAACGAAAGAGAAACTCGGTAACCTGAGCGGAGAAACACATGGCCGGCGAGTGGGTGTCACTCTTCGCCCGGCGAATGACCTCTTCTGATCGAATTGACCCCCAAGATACGGGGAATTAAAATGGAAGGTTATGCCGGGGATGTCCTACGACAAAGACACAGAGATTCCGCCATTTTCCCTCCCCGCGATCACATGGCACTTTCCTTTTTTTTTCTTTTTTTATCTATATTCATTTCATTTCCTCTTAATAAGCCAGCTAATCGAATTCCCACTTGACGTCGTAAATAATCCCGTGGGACCTATCGCCTTACGACCAGCGGAGAAACTGCAGAAAGACAAATGACGGCTTTAATCCTTTACGTTTAAAGGGTTATCACTTCGATTACGGGTTTACGATCGCAGCCATTCGGCCGTGAGGAATGGCAGTATCACAATTACAATGCCATCGATTCATTGGACGCGGAAGACCGCCTTGGGAAATAATGCCTCGTTGTCTTGCGAAAAGATAAGAATTAACTACCGAGGGGAAAAAGGTCCCCCTAACGTATATTAATTTCCCCTTGTCAAAAGCCATGCGTCCAAATGTCCCCGCGCACGAGGCCTCTTCTACCTCTTCAACCTGCGCGCCGCACCAAGTGCATAATGTTGCACTTGTCCGCCTGTTTGCCTTCCCGTCGAGTTTTTCCCTTTACGCTTCTCGAGTTCTTCAGCCCCGCCCCTGCCTACAGTTCTTTTTTTTCTTTTTTCTTCTCCCGTTCCGACTTATCGTGATTAATCGCGCGACGTAGGAAGATTAATTAACAATCGACTGCGACCACTCGTAGAAGAATATCCCCGCTGAGGTATTTACCTAGCGCGACCGGCGATAAACTTGGAAATTATTTATCCACAAGCGTTAACCACCATTCTCTACTATTTACATCCCGGAAAGGAACTAACTTTCCAGGGATATTTCTACAATTAAACCCTTCCAGAGCCTTTGATAATTGTATATTGACCGATATTATGAGAGCTCGACGCCATTTTGCTTCTGGTCTGGGCTGAGTTAAAAAATTTTGATAAAATACCAAATTTTAAATATGTCAGGACAATTCTTCAGGAGTGATGTGTCAAAGTTTGGTCTAATACCCTTAGAAAAAAGTGTTGTATTAGAATCGACTGATTTGAGGGGGGTTTCACTTCACCTTAACGTGGAAAATTATGTCAGCTAGAAGGAACGACCGGCGCAAACAAAGAAGACATCTCCGGACCGAGTCTCGCGCCAAGTGCACGGTACCGCCGCAGTACCTCCTCATCATTTATATTTTTCTCGTTGTTTTCCTCGACACGTCAGCATCCACGGTGACTGGGAAACGTTATCTTACCAGTTATCGAACGATTCTACGACGGCTTTGCTCGTTTGTATTTCCGAATCCCGAGTAAACTACGTCACGAAATGAATGCAAGATCGGTAGCGATCGAGAGGAATGCCGGGTCTCTTTGTTCCTCCCCGGCGTGTCTTTAGCTCGTGCCATTGAAAATAAACACCATTATTATTAATCCATAAATATTAATGCTCCGAGGGATCGGTAATAACCACTTCGTTCTTGCCCCCGGTTTTTCCTTCCCAGCTCGCCGCGAACTCTGCTCCCCGTGAGGATGCAGAATCTTAGGTGGTATCGCGTGTTCTGCCCGTAACTCTGGACCCGACATTGTTTCTTATCACGGGTAGAGCCATTTCGGAAATGTTATCGGTATCATCTTGCCGAGTCCACAAACGAGCGACCTGCTAAATATCCCCAGGCCGGCTTCTGATGACGCGTCGCCGGGCAGCTCCTAAAAATATCATTCGGAGAAAATGCCAACTACCGAGGCGCCATAATTAATAATTAATGATCCCACCGATACCAGCCGAGCGGGCTCGAGTTCCAAGAGCGCGGCTTCGGGTTGGTATCGGCACAGGATACTCGGCTGCATATTTATTTCCCCTTAATGCGCATCGCGAACGAAACATGGCCGCGGCTCCATTGCATGCTAAGTCCTCCGTGTATGCGTCGATTCCCCTGGAATGCGCAACTCGCATTTGAATTACAGAAGAATGGGATCTATCGGTACGTGAATTCCCTCGAATCGGTTCTTATAAGTGCTGCACGAGGCCGAAGTCACGTTTCGGATGCACCGTTCATTCGCGGTAAAGAAATGCACACCCTGAGGGAGAGAGAAAAAAAAAAGAAAAAAAATTAAACGAACCGATGAAATTTATATATATATTTTTTTTATACACGAGTCTACGTTCTCTGGCGAGAAAACGCAAAAAAAATAAAAGGGAAGAAAAAAAAAACATCACGATCGAACCTCGACCTGGGATCGATCCGGGTCCCTCGACTCTTGAACGTTTACGGCGACCTTATTACGCGGGCGGGTAAAAAAGTCCCTCGCATTAAAAATATTCCGTAGTAAACCGCGAATATGACCGATCATCGTGCGTTATCACCGATCGCACGCTACTCGATAGATCTAAAAAAAGACGCGAGGCGCATGACAACCATTAACTGACACGTCAGTTTTTTTTCTCGGGATTAAAACTGTAATAGAAAAAGGTTAACGCCTAACGATTATGTCGACTGTCTCCTGCATTATGCCGGCCCTCTGCAGGTGGACGTGCCAGTTTTTAATAAACGGGGGATCTGCAATTACGCGGGTTAATTCTCCCGAGGTGTGCCGGCTCGTGCAATTCGGTCACGTATCTCGGGATTAAGGCGACGATCGCGTAAACGCCGATTAATCGGGACCGACAGATGTAACATACGTGACGCGCGTTATCGTCACGTAACGAGCCATTGCGCGTATTTTCACCGAAAACACTTCTGGCCGTACAATTTCCGCGACATTAGACGCACCTGCGGGCGAAAAATATATTTCTCTCGTCAGGAGTTGACATTAGTCGACGATGAAAAAAACAAAAAAAAAAAGAGAAAAAGAGATAGAGAGAAAAAAAATGCAAACCCGTCCCCGAGAGTCGCGTTAATTAACTCTAGGAAGTGTCAAAGAGGTGCGTCGGTATCACCATATACCGTTATCACCGAGAATCCTCAAAGAGAGAGGCCCACAACATTATTTTCCTCTCTCTTTTGAGAATCCCCTCGCCAGTCTTCCAGGCGAATAAGTGCTCCCCTTAACGACGTAGCGTCAATTAATTAACCCCGAGGTGGATGTCGAATACCAAGATGGCGGAGAGGATTCCCAGGAGGAATGCCACCAGGAATCTCGGTTTTGGGAGGGAGCGGATTAATCCCGGGTCTCGAATTTCGAGG